GTCTCCAGAAAATACGGTACGTAATTCCAATACCATCGACATGACGGAAACCTCGTGCCCATACACGGTCAATTTGTCTAGCCAACTCAACCACACACGAGAATGTGTGCATGACTATACACACACACATCCTTGAACCTTGAACTTGCCCATTGCCAGAGGCAATGATAGAGAAAGGACTAATATGGCAGCAACCGGCAGAAAGGTTCGTGGCACACAATACACACACACACACACATACTGTGCAAACACACACACACACACACACACACACACACATACTGTACACACACATACCGTACACACACACACATGCTGTACACACACACCTTGACCTTGCCCATTGCGTAACAATGATAGCGCATAGTTATTTCTCCAGTCCACAACAGAACGACTGATGGCGTTTCAGGTCGACCCCTTCGACGGAACGTGCGGCCGCAGGCGCAACCGTAGCCAGCAGCAGAGGGTGCCTTGGGTGGTTGACGGGCAATGGTACGCCACTCCGGACTGTTCTGGGCTGCACCGTACCATCAACATGTTGGTACCGGTGGCTCAACCGACGAAACGTCATCCATAATGACGTCCCTCCACCTCTTGCCTGGACCATGCGCGGGACGCGGGGCAGGCAGTTCACCGAAGAGAACACACTTGGGCAACCGGTGATCTTCCATCCGTGTCACGTGTCCAAGCCAGCGCAAATGCCGCTCCCGTACGATGTGACCAATGTCCTCAGGCACTCCAAGGGTCTTTGGAAGGGCTATGGACGCAAGCACACGCACACACACACACACACACACACACACACACACACACACACACACACACACACACACACACACTTGTACTTGTTGCTCACTGTCAAAACTGGGTCACGTGGGTCTCCCCGGGAGAGGGGAGAGAGACTCAAAAGGAATCTTGGAAAGATGACTCTATTGGCTATTGAACCGCCCAATGGCTGAAACCCTCTGAAATCCCCAAAACTCTGGGTGGACTTGAAAATGATCCCACTTATGGGCTCACCACACCTCAGTAAGTGGGCGAGGACAAGTTGCAGAAAAAGGATTGACGGAATCAGGGTATCCGTCCCGGGATCCAACTGCAGTTACCCCTGCCCCCAGTGAATGTAATACTTGCTACTAGTGTGGGTGGCTAAATCAGAGTGGATCTGATATAAGCTTCACTAGCACCATTCATTACACTAGAGTTAAAGGGGAAGTGCATCGATTTTCAAGTAGGGCTCAGATGAAAGACAATTGGATATCGGTTCCGATGGTATATCTCTCGCTTGCGTACGGCAAGGGAAACTTGCCATATCGCCGATTTCCTGATCCCGTTTCCATGGCGACTACAGGTGATGACGCACATTCTGCTTAGCTCCGTGAGAGAGAAGGTCGATCACTGCAGAATTGTGTCATTTTCAGTTGTCTTCTTGTATTCACGAAGTGAAAGAAGTACTGTTTTCAATGCTGTTAGTGCCGTGAACTGTTTATTAGTAGTCCTCTCCGTTGTGTACTGGGACGTGACACCGACAGGGGAAAGCTGGAGTGCGGAGACGTTAGCTGGCAAGCGAAAATCGTGACGAACCAAGTGCTGAAATCTTGGTTGGGACAAATCAAACGTTCAGCATTTACCTCAACCAAGGACCATGCCGTTTGCTCTTTCCACTTCCTGAAGATGGATGCGCTGCCTGCTGGAGACTCTCCTATCTCTCGTAACATCTTCTGAAGCCAGGTGAGACGATGAGTAGCGGAGATTAGCGAACGAAATAATGTCGTATGTTTTGACATTTTTGCTGAACATTTCTCAGGAGAGATGGCGAATACCAAGCATCTTCTCCTAGTCTAGAGAAACCATTTCGTAGGCTACATTCCGCCTAGGGAAATGGCTGGGGAGGACACACTTGGAGGAGAACGAAGTAAGTGATCTTGTTTATGTTGTTCTTTGGTATTGCAATCTTATGTTTGACGAACATACGGCATGGTGCATAGTTGGTCGTTGAGTGCCTGCATGTGCATGTATAAGTGTGTGCTGATAAACACTTCCTATGCAAGAATCTGACACTCATGCTCTCTTTCTTTCTTGCAGTATGTGCGCACGTACGTGTGTGTGTGTGTGCGTGTGTGTGAGTGTGTGTGTGTGTGTGAGAGAGAGAGAGAGAGAGAGGGAGAGAGTGTGTGCAGGAGCAGCGTGGAGCATGCCAGTGTGATCGCTGTGGCCGTTGCTTTCTTAGCTGTGGCGTTCTTGCCCGTCACAAGTGTGTGGCTCAGCCCCCAACGACAGTGGAGCCGTGTTGTGGTGAATACTGTGTGTCCCGCGACCGCTGCTTCCGTTCGGTCCAGGGCAGGAATAGACACGGCTGCTGAAGCTCTCCCCGGCCGTCCCGTCAGTCTCGTGGCAGATGACCCGAACTCTCATTTTGTGTGTGTGTGTGTGTGTGTGTGTATATGTATGTGTGTTGCTCCCTACGTAGCCGGACAAACTCTTGTTTTTGTGTCCCGGGCGCCATGGGGCGGCGTTCTCCCATTCTCTCTCCACTGCCCCTCCGGGCCCACGTGGCTGTGACTCGACAGAGCAGGGCAAGTGTGTGTATGGCGCATGGTGTGTGCTGGCATGTCTGTATAAATATGTTGGACAGGAATTTGTTCACCCACAACGGTGACGGAAAACCATGCTAGGTGTTGCTGGAAGTTATGGAGTCTGCGAGCAGTTACAATAACTTACGTCATGTCACAACAAAGAACGGTGCAGTGGTTGACCCTCATGTAAACATGATGGTGATGGTACCTCACCTAAGCTACCCATGAAGCTAGAAAGAACATTAGGTCAACAGAATTGTACCAGAGGAAAGCATCTATTGCCCGAACTTCTTCATAATTATGAAATGAACAATACCCTTCTCCATAGAGACAACATGCAGATGAAGTGTATGGACAAATAATATAATTATAAATAGGCCATTCACTGAGGGCATGGAATGATCTCTACGTGTAGATTGGATAGACACATGCACGTCTGCAAGGAAAGCATTTGTTCATGGGCTGATTGAGTTCACATGGACTAAGTTCATATATTGCCATCTCTCCTGAGCAGCAAAATTTCAAAACATACGACGTTATTTCGTTCGCTAATCTCCGCTACTCGTCGTCTCACCTGGCTTCAGAAGATGTTACGAGAGATAGGAGAGTCTCCAGCAGGCAGCGCATCCATCTTCAGGAAGTGGAAAGAGCAAACGGCATGGTCCTTGGTTGAGGTAAATGCTGAACGTTTGATTTGTCCCAACCAAGATTTCAGCACTTGGTTCGTCACGATTTTCGCTTGCCAGCTAACGTCTCTGCACTCCAGCTTTCCCCTGTCGGTGTCACGCCCCAGTACACAACGGAGAGGACTACTAATACACAGTTCACGGCACTAACAGCATTGAACACAGTACTTCTTTCACTTCGTGAATACAAGAAGACAACTGAAAATGACACAATTCTGCAGTGATCGACCTTCTCTCTCACGGAGCTAAGCAGAATGTGCGTCATCACCTGTAGTCGCCATGGAAACGGGATCAGGAAATCGGCGATATGGCAAGTTTCCCTTGCCGTACGCAAGCGAGAGATATACCATCGGAACCGATATCCAATTGTCTTTCATCTGAGCCCTACTTGAAAAATCGATGCACTTCCCCTTTAATCTAGCCAGAAGCAGTCCATGGTTAACAGGTATGTATACTTCAAATAGAAAGTATATGAACCCTGGAACCAACAAAGGTGGCAGGTACAACATTACACCTTCAAGCAGCCGAGCCTGTTGGCAACAGACCCAACACAATCAGGCATAAGTGTACCTACGAACCGAACTAGCTGGCACTAGTCTTGAGTTGTCATTGTCCTGTTCTCCTTCTTGTCTACACTCTTGTACTTGCATAATTCAATACTATAAAACTCTTGTGTTTTGGTGTGAGGGGACTTCATTAGCCGGGAGCAGCTAACACTGGTGGCAGCGGTGGGATTCGAACCCACACCTCCGGGGAGACTGGAGTGCCCACATACACACAAACACACACAAACACACACAAACACACACACACACACACACACACACACACCAGGTAATCGGAGCGTGTGGAGTGCCACTACCTGGAAAAATGAAGACGGAATACTAATCAGGATGTTACATGTATGTTTGAGTGAAACTTTTATTTTATCTTGTTTCAAATTTCTTCCACACAATCAACTAATTACTTACATGACATGTACTTACTTCCCATCATCTCAGTTTTCTTTTCTATTCATCCATCTGCACTCCATATCACTCCGTATCACTGTTGTAGAAATATTCCTCCAGGTGTGTACTAGTCTCCACAGCCATGTGATGACACTTTGGGACACGTCCCTAACAACATAGCACTCTCCAGTTGGTAGTTTTACATTTGCCCAGATTATCTGTGACCACAACACGAAATGCATAGCGGCAATCGATGGATGAAGTGTTCATTCTACACTACAGGAGCTGCTAATGCAGAGCATTTTTACACGCTCGATCCCGGCGCTCCGCCTCGTTGCGCCGTTGGTGACACTGACCATGCACGGTCACAAGAGATGTCTCAGTAAGGTAACGAGCACCACAACACTGTCGAGATCAATGAGAAAGAGAAAACACTGAAAACAACAAAAGAAGAATTAAATCAAAGTCAAGTGCATGTACTGTATGCGCCTTTTGCTTTTGCATATGTTGCCACTGGCAACTTACGTGTTACTTGTTCGGTGGAGAGGATTTTTAGTACAGACTCAGTGTGCATGTACAGCCATGCAGTCTAGGACTAGGGACTGTTCCTATGCGCGTCTAGTACTACTGGTACTGTGTACTGTCTGTGTACATGTTCTGGCATGTACTCAGTTATAATGCCGAGTAATCATGGTAATGGCAGCTGACTTTATTTTTGGAGAAACACTAGTCCTGGAGTGTCATTGTAGTAAAACGTAACAATGAATGGTGATAGCATCTAGGAAGGATCGCTACCCTGACGTGAAAGAAAGGCCTTGCGCGGCTGCTCTACGAAGTGTTGCAGAAAGACTCAAAGTTAGTTGCTGGACGAACAACTCGCTGGGGCCGGAAAACCTGGCCCCAACGATGGAGTTTGGTGAATCATCAAGCATAATATCTTGTAGCAGTGTTCACCGAGGAAGGAGAACGCTCTAGCCGCTGCTGTTGTCCGTTTCATCCACGTTGGGCGTGAGCTGCACCGCGCCTATTGTGTTTTAGTATTCCATGGACACACATTAGCATTCTGAGCGATTGTGGAGCCACAATTTACTTCACACGGCGTTGTATTGTCCACGAGCGCAAACTTTATTATCAGCAGTAACTGTTACTCTTCATCCTACATGTAGATTTGGAGTATACACGGCCTTGTCACGACAGCGACAGCTCTACAGAGTGTTCAAGTGAGAAACATTAATTTCAATTGTTGGTGGACGAACAAATCACTGGTTCTGAAAAACGCGGCCTGCATCGATGGTGTTTGGTGGATCATCGAACAGGGTGACCAGCAGTGTTCACCGAGGAAGGAGAACGCACTCGCCACCACTGTCGTCCGATTCATCCAAGTGGGCGCTAGCTGCGCCGCGCCTATTGTGTTCTAGTATTCCATGGATGCACACTAACGTTCTCAGCGATTGTGGAGCCTTGTCTTCATGCAGCGTTGCACTGTCCAAGAGCACAAACGTCAGCAGTGACCCATCATCATACATGTAGATTTGGAGTATACACACCATGCGCCAATGGGCCTTGGCACAACAGCGGCAGCTCTACGGGGTGTGCAAGTGAGAAACTTTTGTTCCGACTATTGGTGGACGAACAAATCGTCGGTGCCGAAATACGTGGCCTGCGCCGATGGTGCTTGGAACATCAAGCATGGTATGTGGTGGCTGCCAATGTTCATCAAGGAAGGAGAACACTCAGGCCATCGCCCGTCATCCATTTCGTTAGCTGCACTAAGTCTATTGTGTTCTTGTACTCCATGGACACACAATCATGAAGCATGGCGTCTGAGCTGTGTTCACAGAGCGGGGAGATGCTCTCGCCGCTATCTTATCTGTCCTGTGTATTCCCAAGTGTCGAAGGCTCACAACGATGGCGTTGGACAAGTGAAATAAGATGGAATCAACGTAAGTACGCATGTGTACTCTTACTGACTGAAACATAAGTGGGGTGTAAGAGCTAATTCATATGGTGTTGTGACATTCACATGTACGAGTTTAGTGTGTAGTACTGTCTTGTTACGTACTGAGTTCTATGACTTTGTTTTGTCTCCATATACTGCATGCATTCACGTTACACACTTATCAGTTTGACCCTGAGTTCATGTCTGCTATCCCGTGTCTCCTCTGCTTCTTATTGTTTCCACATGGTTCACGGTGTAGCGCTGCACGTGTTCCGTCAGTTTGAACTTTAGCACAAATCGCAACTACTTGTACTTTCAGACATGGCACGTGATTCACGGTTGCCAGGGTTTGAGCCAATCAGAGCGCTTACACGCAGGTCCTGAACCCCTGATCATGCCCTGCCTGCCAGCTGCACTACGATATTATGTCACGTACCCGCACGCGCACGGTTCTCCTGCGCTTGGGCGTGCTTTCCCTTGGTAGTTGGAAGTCAGTGGCTGTTTTAGGACTGTAAGATTATGTAAAGAAAGTGGTGGACATCACGCAACTGCACTGTAAATAAAAGGGGGTTTGTCAACTGCCAACCGCATAATTTTCGACATCATTAATAAAATAATTTTCATCTAAAGAGTGAATAGCAACTAAAAAGAGCGGTTGTCAGTTGACAAACCCCCCTTTTATTTACATTACTTTTATTTACATTACTTTTATTTACATTACTTTTATTTACACTACTTTTATTTACATTATCTACTGTAGAGCAGGACATTTTCGGACGGAATTTATTTTCGTACGATTTCGTACACGGCCTCTTTTGTACTAAAATTAATTCCGTACTAAAATTTGCTCATATGAAATTATGTACACTATACATGCGTACTGCTTGCGAACACGTGTATTTAGAATGCAGCACTGTACGAAAATATGATCCGTCCGAAAGGTCGAAATTTGGCTTTGTCCGAAAATATTTCCGTCCGAAAATTTCCTGCTATACAGTATCTGAAGTAAACACAACGTAGAAATATCACAATTGTCTCTTGTGTATTATATCCGTCTGATGTCACCAGATCGTCACATGGTGCTGTGACCAGGATACGGATCATGACGAACGCTGATTCAACTGGACGAATCGCAACCTGACGACGAAGAATCGCGAGGCTTTTCAGATGCTGGGACACAATGGAAACTGAACGACTTTAGAACAGCACTGAAGCGTTATGTTATCATGCAAGACGCCTTTCTGCGCCGCACAAACACAGGCGATACTACAGCAGAAGATGTCACTCATTATTCTGCAGGTGCACTGGTGACAGGCGCATGCAAGGTCACGAGAAGGAAGCGGTCTGATGGTAACTGGAATGCCAGCAGTATGAGAGGGTGTGCATTCTGCGGTGGATCTCACCTGGACAAGAGCTGCACGAAATACACAACAGTAGCACAGCGGAAAGAATAACTGATTGAACAGAAGCGTTGCATTGTGTGTTTGCGCACAGGGCACCGGTCAACTCAGTGCAAGGCCACCCGCAAGTGTAATGTGTGTTCTCGCATGGGTCACCAATCAGAGTCACCATCATGTCACGATCTGCCCTGAATCTCAACAGAAATCTGACAGCAGTACCAACATGGTATCTGATCAGCCTGTGTTTGACGAGGTACCAGCATCTAGCACAACAGCAGCTAGTGCAGCATCAACCAGTATCGCCATCGACCGAAAGATAGTCAGTCGTCTTGATCGGAGCCAATCTTCTAACAACGACCTAGCAATTAGGCAATTCATCTCAACTGTCATTCAACTCGATCGTTTCCGGTCTCTATCCAAGTGCCTAGAAGTCGAGTCGGAACTCAAGGTCAAATGCGACGACGTGATCCAGCAGCAGCTACGACAAGGCATCATTGAACAAGTGAGTCCTTCTACACCTGTGGGTGCCAGAGTGCCCTATCCGCCTCATCAACCAGTCGTGATACCACAGAAGACGATCACAAAAGTCAGAATTGTCTACGACGCCTCAGCCAAAGCCAGACGCACTAATGTGTCCCTGAACAACTGTTTGCAACATGGCCCAGCTTTGCTGCCAGATCTGTTTGGCATTGTTCTACGATTTTGCCTGCCACCAATCGTCATGACCTGCGATACTGAGAAGGCCATTCTACAAATCAGTGTCAACCCAGCATACAGAGATGCGACACGATTTCTGTGGTTCGCCAACTCCGACAGTACATCAGCCTGGCAACGTATCGCTTCTGCCGGGTACCGTTCAAGCTCATAAGCAGTCCATTTCTGCTTGGCACGTCTATACAGCAGCATCATTTGGCACAGCAAGATGACAAAACAGCTAGCAGTGGCTATTGGTGAGAACATTTTCTGCTGTGCCATTGGAGTGTGCACTATACACATACCCTGCTCTTTTGTTGGCACCGCCTGTGTAACTTACTGCATAGGGTGCAAGGTGACCGTTGTCGGTTTACATGTACTCCAGTTATTACACCGTGCATGCACTGAGTCTGTGCTGTACTGTGCCGCATCCATAGGTGTTCGTTTGCGGTAGCGCAAGGTGACACACAAGGTTGATGTATTGTGTTGTGCGCTGCTATTTGAAGCTCTCGGAGTCGGAAGCGTTACCTCTGTTTCCCCTGTTCCTCCCTGAGCGGAGTCTGTAGTTCTGGCTTTCAGTCGCTGTTACATGCATGTTGGCAGTTGCATGTGTTTTGGTTATCAGTTGTCTTTATTTGTTTTGTGTGGACGACGCCAGTTCAATATTCTAGCAGTTGTTACGCTGCCCATGTTCCGTAGTTATCTGCTGTTGGTGTTCGAGAGAGCAAACTGTGTTCTTCTCCAGAGTGGAGTAAGCCATTCTCTTGTGTCTGAGGAAACCCTGTGTGTTGACGAAGTGGGTTGACTTGGCTGTAGAGTGAAAGTACCACATGGTCACATGGTCCACAGTATCTTAGAACTAGCTTAGGGTCTTCTGGCGTATGGTATATTATGTGAGCAGCATGAGAGTGAAGTAAAAGACTATTAGCTCAAACATTCAGTCTATCAAGAGTAGGTGTTCCATCACGGAATAGGTACTGCAGTTCACTTACACACTGCAACAATGGACCAGCAGTGTCCAGCATACAATATAGTATCAAAAAGTATTCTTTCTAGACCAAAGAGTGGTATATTTGATAACATTTAATAACGATACTTCTCCAGACGTTTCGTTGTTCTGAACAACATCGTCAGTGGATAAAGAAGCTTTCTTTATCCACTGACGATGTTGTTCAGAACAACGAAACGTCTGGAGAAGTATCGTAAAAATTTCTATCGTTATTAAATGTTATCAAATATACCACTCTTTGGTCTAGAAAGAATACTTTTTGATATTACAATGAGAGTGAATAATCAACGGCTTGTCCACCAACTCTTTATACAATATAGTCATGTGAATATGTACCGTATGCATACTCACAGCTGCAAGGCCAGCGCCCCGTGGCTGCTTGACTTCTCACTCGATTTTAATATTCACAACAGTAAGACTGTGATCAATCATGGCTCTGTGAGCAGTTATGCTTCCGTTGTAGTCACAAACGCCCCATGATCAATCACAAAACTAAACTTGGCAACCCGCAGTCACAGCTTCCATGGTGCCCCAAGACCAGTCCGACCAGAGATGACTAAATCTGCAGGGAGTTTCATAATCTGTTCATTGCAGAGTCCACTATACTATGATTCTAGAGGGTGGTAGCGTTCCTGCGGATGCGGAAAACTCGGCTGGAAGTGTCACGTCAATCCTGATTTTTTAAGACTTTTATTATTTGTTTACCATGAGCCTATTATACGCGATACAGGCTCAGAACACACTTTTCGTCTAGTTGGCATATCAGGGATATTGGGCGGAGCAGCTGGAGCAGCCCATATCCCCAATTATGACACGCGAGTAATAGTGAAATACGATTGGTGTATTGTGCTGGACTGACTGCGGTAATGTAAAGCTAAAATCAAGTAGTCAGTTTCACTTTGCCCTTAGCATGGCCTTGTCATGAAGGTGCCACATACGTGGAAAGGCAACATGCCGGCTAATCTCCCTGAGAAGTTGAGTGGTTATCAGCAGGCGATGACGCTGCGTCGATGATGACCTGCCGATGCCCGACAGGAGCCTTGCGAGGAGAGTCATTGGGCCCGACGGGTAGGTAAAGCCAACTTCCACATGAAGTTTGCGGATGGCCGACAAGTGTAGACATGGACAGATCAGGGCTGAAAAGTTCTGAACAACTCGGCAGCAAAATAACACAAAGTAAAAAGTCATCACCTGGCAATGGATTGCAGGCATGCACTTGACAGAACTGGAAGCAACGGGTATCGGCGGAAAAATATTTCCGACTGGTGCCAGTGCTGGTAGCTGCAGCACGGAGTCCGTCAACTGAGAGTTGGCAAGAATGGCTGATCTGGCTCAGCTGCTGTTTCCGGAGCCCTTGATGTTTCAAACACAATCGCCGCAGGCCATGTTTTTTGGCACCGACGATTTTTTCGTCCACCATTTTTCTCACTGGACACTGCGTAGAGCTGCCGCTGTTGTGCCAAGGCCCATTGGCGCATGGTGTGTATACTCCAAATCTACATGTATGATGCTGGGTCACTGCTGACGTTTGTGCTCTTGGACAGTGCAACGCCGCATGAAGATAAGTTGTGGCTCCACAATCGCTGAGAACGCCAGTGTGCATCCATGGAGTATTAAAACACAATAGGCGCGGCGCAGCTAACGCCCACTTGGATGAATCGGACGACAGTGGTGGCGAGTGCGTTCTCCTTCCTCGGTGAACACTGCTGGTCACCCTGTTTGATGATCCACCAAACACCATCGGTGCAGGCCGCGTTTTTCGGAACCAGGGATTTGTTCGTCCACCAACAATTGAAATTAATGTTTCTCACTTGAACACTCTGTAGAGCTGTCGCTGTCTTGACAAGGCCGTGTATAGTCCAAGGCTACATGTAGGATGAAGAGTAACAGTTACTGCTGATAATGAAGTTTGCGCTCGTGGACAATACAACGCTGTGTGAAGTAAATTGTGGCTCCACAATCGCTCAGAATGCTAATGTGTGTCCATGGAATACTAAAACACAATAGGCGCGGTGCAGCTAACGCACAACGTGGATGAAAGGGACAACAGCAGCGGCTAGAGCATTCTCCTTTCTCGGTGAACACTGCTACAAGACATTATGCTTGATGATTCACCAAACACCATCGTTGGGGGCCAAGTTTTCCGGCACCAGCGAGTTGTTCGTCCAGCAACTAACTTTGAGTCTTTCTTCAACACTCCGTAGAGCAGCCGCGCAAGACCTAGCCTTTGCGTTAGGGTAGCGATCCTTCCTACATGCTATCGCCTTTCATTGTTACTTTTTACTACAATGACACTCCAGTAGTGTTTCTCCGAAAATAAAGTCAGCTCTTTTGTTGTTTTCAGTGTTTTCTCTTTCTCATTGATCTCGACAGTGTTGTGGTGCTCGTTACCTTACTGAGACATCTCTTGTGACCGTGCATGGTCAGTGTCACCAACGGCGCAACGAGGCGGAGCGCCGGGATCGAGCGTGTAAAAATGCTCTGCATTAGCAGCTCCTGTTAGGGTGTTCAGTCACGTGACATGTGATTTCTTATTCTTTGGATTTTGGCACCAAATTTTTTTTTATTCGAAAGCTCTAGGTTTCAGGAGGATCTTGGTGAAGTTTCAGCGAAAAACAAGCAAAAGTGGCCGCGCAGTGGCCCGTTGAAGTTTTCGCCCATTCACACTATGTACACACATATTTAGTATGCGGCCAGTGGCACACACCAGCATTTCTGCCATCCAAACCCAAAAAACAAAGTTGCTCAGATCACTTAGCTTTTTCGCAGGCATGGCACTAATAACAGAAAAGTAAATGCTGTGAAGTCAATTTTCCATTTTTGCTACCAACTTTCAAATTTCCCCCTTAGCAACCACCATAGCAACTGTACAAAAGTCAATGTGTTACCTCCCAAAAAACTAAGTTTCTCAGATCACTTAGCTTTTTCGCAGGCATGGCACTAATAACAGAAAAGTAAATGCTGTGAAGTCAATTTTCCATTTTTGCTACCAACTTTCAAATTTCTCCCTTAGCAACCACCATAGCAACCATACAAAATACAATGTGTCAGTGTTGGTTACCTTGAAATGCTGCCCAATTTCGACTGTGCCGAAAGGAAAACACAAAGAAGATCACTGGAATTATGCAGCATTGCATGACAAGACAAAGAGTTCATTGCTGGAGAGACAAACGGGCATGCGCCAGGATATCAAATGCAAACAAAACCACACCCATAACAGACATTACACGCTTTAGCGGATAAGAGAATGCTCAAATTAAATTTGAGAACTTTCAGAGCACATAGAAAAGATTTATAATAGATCAAGCTGAAAAGCTCAGAGAAAGATACATCATGTCCGAATTATGGCTGAACGAGGACTCTTGCAGAGTGAATTCATCGTACAGTTCCGGTTCGCTTTTATACATCATTCATCATCAACAGCGCTCGCCACATCACTGCCAGGTTCGCTGCGCTGGCGAGTCAGCTTCCTCAAGTTGGACGCCAATGTTGCAACTGGGAGAGTACGGCCAGCAGAGCTCATAAAGAACAGCTCCTTGGAAGCTTTCTGCTCCAGAACGAATTTCCGAAACTGGAGTTGTGAGCGCAATGCTGCTCTTTGACCAGTGACAGAGGAAATTGCTGCAAGCTTTTCATCGATGTTCGTCTCCTCTGTCCACAGACCATATGCCTCAATCTCCTTGGTCAACTGTTCTTTTCGTGCAATGGTGGCTTGATGCTTCTTCTCCTTTTCTGCCTGCTTTCTCTTGAGCTCTGCCAAGCGATGCTGTTGGATAGCGACCCGTCTGTCCTTGAACTGCTGACGCGCTGATGGAGCTGTTTGCCTAGCCACTTCAATCAGGTTGGACTGCTCAGCTGGTGAAAGAGACTGAAGCCATGAAGCGGTCTCGTTGTTGTTGAACAGAATCATACCTTCCAGAGCAACAGTGTCAGCATTAGGCTTCTCGCGAAGCAAACGGTCCAATTGTGCGAAGTCACGCTCACTGACAGCATTGGTCTTGCGAACCGAAGCAGTCTCAACAGCTAGGCCCGGTGCACTGTGGTACTTCCCACCCGGTAAGTGGTCCACGAGGAGACGTGCTGAGAATGAAGATAGCGTCGAGCAGAGGTAAGCGAGGATCTCCAACGTGATAGCATCATACTTCTCCGACGGCTCCACGAGAGCTGTGAATACATCGCACAGTGTGGATACCTTTGCATTGGGAAATGGCCGTGCGCTGCCGTCAAGGAGGTCGCTTGCATCTTTCGCCCAGTCGTCAAATTTGCTACTCAATGCAGTGTAGTACTTGCCAACCTCAAGCACAGAAACATCCGGATCTTCCAGCAGACACCAGAGTGGGTTGATCACAAGCTTGGACAAGATACCAAGTGCTCGAGCACCTGCAATCAACTCTGTCTCACCCAGATCTTCTTTAACAGCACGCAAAAGTTGATTGTCTCGTACACTGACGTCAACCAAAAAATGCAGCATTTTGTTGTGGAGATAATAAATACCTGCACCATTGTGGAATACAACGTAAGATCTATTTCCCCTGTACTCATCAAGAGGCAATGGTGTGTTTGTCTCAGACAGGAAAGCATGAAAGTCCGCTACGCACCCCGCTGCTTCATCACCATGCTTTTCAAAGGCTTTAGTGGTACTGTAAATAAGCCGTGCTGTGTTCCCTGTCCCCTGCCATGTCCCAGGAAGTCGCTCAGCACCAACCTTCACACCCTCACCAAAATGAGCCCTTTCCCAAACCTTTAACGC